AGAACAGAGGCAGGGAGACCAGTTGTTGCAGGTGTCTGGGTGCTGAACTGAGATGGTTTGGCCTGGGACGGTAGCACTTGGAGATGGTAGAAGTGATTAAGTTTTATTTTTTTTGAGACAGGGTCTTGCTATGCAGTTCAGGCTGGCCTCGAGTTCACACTGTAGCCCAGGCTGGTTTCGAGAAGAAGTGATTAAGTTTTAAAGGTATTTTGCAGTTACGGCCAGCATGACTTGTTAATGGTATAGATGGGATTGTAAGGAAAGAGACCTTTAGGTTTTTGAATGGAGCCACTGGGTGGTGGGGATGTCATCTTCAAGGTGGGGTAGACTGAGAAAGAGTCTAAACCTGTTCTTGGTTAGGGGGATGAGGAGTTCCACTTTAGGTGACCAATGGGAAGCTGGATACATGAGTCTGGAATTCATGGGAGAGGTTAGTTCTGAACACATAAATGTGGGAGTCACCAGCTTATAAATGACTTTATAGATGGTACTAGACAACATAACTGAGGGAAAAATGTACATAGAGGAGAAAGGCACGCAGAGAACTGGCCCCAGGCCATTTAACATTTAGAGTAGAAAGAGAAGATGGATTTAGGGAGTCAACAGAGGCCCATTGATTAGGTGGGAAGAAGCCAGGAGAGGGTGCTGTATGGGGGTCAAGGGAAGGTAGGGCTTGGGGAAAGGCCAGATGCCAAGGGATAAGGTAAAATGCAAGGACTGACCATTGATCTGGCCACTGACTGGAGCAGGGGGGTGAAGTAGACATGAGTGTAGACAAATATTAGAAGATTGAGATTTTTGTCAATGGAATAATGATATCAAGGGAGAGTTTTAAAAAGAAAGAGATGTGGCCAGGTGTGGTGGTGCACACCTGTAATCCCAGCACTTGGGAGACTGAGGAAAAAGGTTTGCCACAAGTTCAAGGCCAGCCTGGGCTACACAGTGAGACCAGAAACAAACAAACAAATGGCAAACAGGAAAAAGATGAAAATGCTGTATCATATTTGCAGAGAGGAGAGTTGTTAGGAGCAGAGAAAGGCACCATCTATGGAGCACAATGTGGAGAGGGGGCAGTCTGGTGTCTAAGGGAGGTGTGTGCCGGGCGCAGGGGCACTTTCATCCATGCAGAGGGGAGAAGGCAGAGCACTTGGCGCTTATGCTGGGAAGATGGTAGCTGTGGTTACGCAGTGCTGAGTTGGTCCTTTCTTATTGCTCTTTCCCCCGGGGCCATTTGTTGCCTGGCTATCAGCCGAAATGGAGGAGTGGGAGACGGAGGGCTGGGGGTTTGAGGAAAGAGAAGTTGTGATAAGATCATCTTGCAAGATCAGGTTAAAATTTAATGAAATGTGAAATTTCTTAGAGATGCTGAGCGCCTACTTGAGTTCTGTGGTCAGAAGTTTAAACTGAAGCTGTCAGTCCAGCTATACTGTTCTCTGCTCAGGGGCAAGTACCACACGGAGAAGGTCCTGCCAGGGGAGTGCTAGAGAGGCACACAAAGGCAAGGCAGGGGAGGACATCAACAAGGTGACGACTGGGGACCTGTGGGGCCTACGCCGGAAAGGCAAGAAGGGAGCCCAAGAAATTGGTGGCAGGCAGTGAACTGGTGGCGGTCACTGGGCTGGGCTGAGGGCTGGTGGAGAGGGAAGCATGATGAATAAGCCGTATGGATGAGAGATTGCACACCTCGGTGTAGACAAGATCTAGGTGGGACCTAGTGCATGTGGGAGGTTTGATGGGTGGAAAATAAAAAACATGTTGGGAGCCAGGAAGTCAGGGAATTGAGAGGCCAGAGTGTAGGTATGATAAGTAGTGCAAGAGTACAGAGAAGGGGAGTGAGTCAGTGGCTAAGAAGAAGGATTGGGAATAACCGGGATATCTTGTTTATATCTCAGATTCACTAAGTTTGAAACTGAAATCCTTGCTTTCTTTCAAACCTACTTTTCTGCTGGGGCTCCTGTCCGGTATGTGGCTCTATCAGCTAGAGCGGAAACCTGTGTGTTACTTTGATTCCTCCAGTCAAATCACCAAATCTTGCTTCTGTCATGTGCACATTTCTTAACTCCAGCAACTTTTTCCAGCCCCATTGTACATGCCCTCCCTGGTTCAGGTCATTGTTGTTTCTTGTTCAGATTATTGCATCAGATTCCAAACAGGTAGCCCTGCCCTGGTTCCTCCACACTGTACCAGGGATCATGTCACCTTTGTGTTACATCTCTCCTGGGCTTGTCCATTGTCTTTAGGACAAAGTCCAACATCACCGACAGGGATTTATGAAGAAATCACTACTCACTTTAGCCTCACTGTGAATCCCTGGCCCCTTTCCTGATTTGATCATCTCGAGTTTCTTTCAGTCTTTGTCATGAGATTTGCTCTCCCTTTGCGTATGCCATCCCTTTGTCTGGAATTCTACCCGGTTCACTTAACAAAATCATCTCTAGGTGACAGTATAAGAAAGAAGTCACAAGGAGCCCTTTCCTGGATGCCTGGATGTCAGATTCTCTTTTCTCTCCCAGCCCCCTGTACTTCTCAAGTAGGCCACAAATGTGGTAGTTGTCCACCCCTCTAGACTGGATGCTTCCTGAAGTCAGAGACCAACTAATTCTTCCTAGGATTTAGCAAGGAGCATTCACATAGAAGTAAGCTATTTGTTGACCTAAATCCAGGGGAAGGCTCTGAGGTGGAGCAGTCACAGGTGATGACAAGATCCAGTGTGAGGTTCTGTAGGATTGTTGTGGTGGAAGAGGAGGTAATGGAATGCGAAGGATGGGATGAAACTTGGGTAGATCCCGTGGCCTTTTAGGCTCTAGGAAAGCAACAGGAGAAGACCTCTGGCCACGGTCTCAGTCCTGAATGAACAAGAAGTTGCTGGCAGCAATGGGAACAGGAAAAGGTGAAAGACAAGACAACAGAGTGGGGATTTTTCAGCAAGTGGAGGTATACGGGTCTGTTGGTGGTGAGAGTGTGGGGGCTGAGAGTGAGACAGTCTGATGGCTGAAGTGTCGCCTAGAGTTTTAGTCTCAGTCCCCCCTAGAAGGCTCAGGCTGGTATGATGGTGTTGTGCTTCACTTAGCTCATGATTCAGGACCCTAGACCTCTGGGAAGCATACCATGGGGAGCACCAACAGAGGGCCAGGTCCCGAGAGGAACTCACCCTATGCCAGACCCAGCAGTGGCCCCTGGAGTGGCTTCTAGATTCTCAGGAGGAGTTGGTCATGGCTGATTCCCTGGCCCAGACTTGGGAGATACCTTTGTCTGAGCAGTGTGGAGCCAGCTGGTTCAGCTGGATGTGCCACTTTATCCTGGGCTGGGTAGGCACAACTTTGGTCTGGATTGAGGATGACAGCAACACTTGTCTTCTGGGGTCAGGAGTTTAATATGTGTACTGTGTCCTACTCATGTCTCCAGTACTGGAGATACCCATTCTCCAGATGCTGTGAGTATTAGCTGCTCATGGATTATAGCTGACCTTGGAGAAATGACCTTGATTGAGCAGAAGCCACTTACTCCTTTCTGCCAGCCTTCCTGCCACTGGATTTGCTTTTAGCCAAAGACTGATTGATGGAGGAATTCAAGAGCTTAGTGCCCTTGCCTCCAGAGGTGGGACACCTATGGTGGGATTCATGATCCAAATCCCTCTTCTTCCCATGAATCAGGTCAAGCTACAAGTCCCTGAGTACACAGCTAGTTCAGCTCAGCCTCTTCTTGTCCTGCTTCTGCTCTTTCCTTCTTTTGTACAAAATCCCTGCTCCAGACTCTGTTTCTAATCAACCTACTTGACTCTCTGGGCTTGTCCCATAACCAACAGTGGACGTGGAGTCACTCCAATGGCGTTGGGAGGTCCCATCCCTTCTCTATGCAAAAAATCCTTTACTTGTACACAAGAGCTTTAGGCTGGATTTAGTTAACAACACTGTATCAAAAAACAAAGCCTTGGGACTGGGGATTTAGCTTAGCGGCATTAGCGCCTGCCCGGCAAGCGCTAGGTCATGAGTTTGATCCTTGGTACCAGACCAAGACCAAACCAAACCAAACCAAACCAAATCAAAACAAACCAAAACAAAGCCCTGTGGTGTTCCTGATGAGTAAAAAGGGAGGGCGCAGGGAGGAGACTGGGAAGCCAGGGTGGAGATGCAGGTTGGGAACAGTGATGGTGGTGATAGAATTTTTACAGCAGAAGGAGTTGTGTGGTTAGATTCATGTACAGATTCATCACTTCATCCTGTGGTGCAGAGGCATTACAGACCCAGTGAGAGGAGGGAAGGAAGACTTGTGGGGGTGCGAAGGGGGTGGATTCAGAGACATGGAGAGGTTTGAGTCAGTAGCATTGGGTGCAGGGCTGGGATGCGGGTGAGAGAGAGGGGCTAAGCATGGCAGGCCAGTCTCTGGTTTGGGGCAGTGAGTGGGGGACAATGCCCTTCATGGACTAGGGAGTGCGTCTGAGGTCACCAGGCTTAGGGTAAGGTGATAAGGTCCATCTGTAGTTGCTGAGATGCCCAGAGAGAGAGGGAAGGTGCTTGGATTGGGGGGAGGATGAAGTCACTCAGGGAATGTATATTGGCAAAAAAGCCAGGAAATCCCACAGATGTGAGGAGCCATGACAGGTCTCCTCGTCATCCTGGGAACCCCAATCTGACTGACCTTGCTGGTAGCACCCTTGCCTGCCGCCATCAGAGGGGCTCTCCTACCTAAGATCTGTGCTGGGCAGAGTAAGGGAGACTGGAACTGGACAGCATCTGACAGACACTTCCTGGGAAGGGGCACCTGCTGGCCACAGTGGCTCCTCCTCTCCCTCTCTTGGCTTACAGACCTGTGAGGCCCTTGGTATAGTTCCTGTCTTTGGACATTTCCTTCTGGGTCCTAGGTATGCGTGTGCATGGGAGTGGGTGGGTAGATCTGAGGTTTTGGGGCTGGAGTTCCCAAGGAATAGTGTTGGCTTCCTCCTTGAGCTCCCTCTGAATCCCTCCCTTCCCTACTCAGCACTCCCCATATGGTCTACAAAGTACTGGGAAAATCATCTTTATTGGGATTTTGATATACGCTGTTGCCACAAAAAAAAAGCCCCACCAGTCATGAAGTCTTGAGTCCAACGAGCTGAACTGCGTCCCTCCCACTATGCACTGGGGTGGGCTTCCCGAGAACGCACGGCCACTCTCCGCATCTGCCTCTACCCTTGCCTGTTTTTCTCAGAGAAACCTACCTGCCATTTGACAGGTTATGGATACCCACTTTCGTTCATTAGGGCCGACTCAGCCTTCTTTAGGACAGAGTTCCCATCCTGGGGGTGCCCTTCCTGGGAGACCACATATGGTGGGCACGTATCGGGCAGGTGACACCGGTGCCGAGATTTCCGGGGTCGAGGACCCAGGCTCTCCCTGCACCTCTTGCCCACCAGGTAGGTGACCTCACAGAGGTTGAGCAGGATGCAGACGACAGCCGTGCCCACCATGAAGCAGGTGAAGACCTTCTTCTCTGTGGGCCTGGAGATGTAACAGTCCACAGTGTGGGGACAGGGGTCTATACTGCAGTGCACCACGCGGGGCATGTCATAGTTCTTGTAGAGGCGGTGGAAGACATAGAGGAAGGCCGAGTCCATGGCGACCTTGAAGATGAGACTCACCAAGTATGTCCACCAGAGCCCGCCGCGCTTCTTGCTGGGATTGCTGTACAGGGGTGGAGCATTGGGTCCGCGCTTCATGCGGTGCTTCTGCTCCCGCTCCTCCCGGTAGATCACATGCATGCCCACGAGCAGCGAGGGGCATGTGACCAGGATGAGCTGCAGCGCCCAGAGGCGCACGTGGGACACCGGGAAGAAGTGGTCATAGCAGACATTGGGGCAGCCCGGCTGGAGCGTGTTGCACACGAAGTCCTTCTGCTCTTCGTTCCACACATCCTTGGCGGCCACCAAGTACACCAGCAAGCGGAAGACGAACACCACCGACAGCCAGATGCGGCTCAGCGCCGTGGAGTACTTGTTCGCGCCACTCAGGCGTTTGTACAGAAATTCCCAGTCCATGCTGGTTCTGTCCTTTGGCCTCTGATGTAGATGCGTCTACAACTGTGTGTCACCCACTCAGGCCTGGGGGAGCCTGGAGGCCTGGAAGAATCTGGAAACGGGTGTCCTTAATGATGGTGTGGTTGACAAAATCATTTTACAAACCCCAGGTCATTATGTCCTCACCTGGAAGGGCTTGCACAGGGAGGGATTATCACTGTTTCTATTTCACAGGAAAGTAAGCTAAGGTCTAGAGGCACTTACCCAAGGCCCCATAAACTAGAAGCAGCAGAGCTGGTCTTGAACCTTGGTTTTCAGGTTCCAAAATCAGGGTCTACTTTACAAAGTAATAAATACAAATGAAGATACTATCCTGCATGGAGCAGCCAGCCAGCGTCTTTACTGCATGTTTTAGTCTCAAAAGCATGGATGATCCCATCAGCTCTCCCATCTCATCTAACTTCCACTGAATGCCACAAGAGCCAGACCCTGGGCTTGGCACATCTGCATCAGCCCCTGGTAGATCCCGGAACAGTCTCCATCCTCTCCTCTCTGGCTCCAGAAGGCTTCCCAGATATTCCCTTCCAAACTAAACAGGCACTTTAGAATTATGGTGGCTTGGCATCTTGCCTGCCATGCCACGTAGTCAGTGCTGGTGCAGAAGGGCTGACCACAGTGGGCTCCTCTGGAATTCCAGCTGTGTTAGCTTCAAAGAGGGCCCAGGGGAAGAGACAGAGGCTGGATTCTGGCCTGGTCTGTTTCTCGATATTGCTTTCCTATCTCAGGGACACTTCTGTATTTGCTTAGTGGCTATGTGCTAGCCACATCTCCCAATATTTGCATTCAGAGTCCCCTGTACCTAACCTCTGCACTCCCTTACTAGGAGTCTCTTTTATTTTCTGTCCCAATCCCTGCTCTCCTCCCTCCCCAAGTCAGCTCCCACCCTGCTCAGACACACTACCCCCAGGACACATGCCAACTACTCTTGTCTTCCGAGGCAGCCTGCTTCCCCTGCACTATGTGGCCTGCTGACTTGTTTTCCTTGTGGTACTGCCAGCTGCTGGGAAGGTTACTCTATACTTACTCGCCTGTCTCCCCCGGACCCGCTTTGAGCTGGCCCGGGGAATACTCAGTAGGTTCTGGTCCCTTCTCTTTGTCCACTCCTTCTTTGGTCTGGCGGGATATTCCTTTCCTTCTTTGGAGCTTCCTTGGGGCTCTTCCAGGAACCCTAAGCCCTTGTCCCCCGCCCCACCTCCCTGAAGCCTGGCCCACAGCCTGAGATCCCTTGGGTAACCTCAGTCCTGTGGGTTCCTTCTTCCCAGCCCCTTCTCCAGCCCTGTTTGGTCCTCACCTCTCCCTTCTTGTGGATCCGGCTCACTCTCTTGTCCCTGGGATGCCCTTCTGCCTGAGTGTCTCCCCAAAGTAGCTTTTGTTTCTTCTTCCCAGCGGGGTGGGACTTTCTGAGCTAATGAACCAAGCAAGGATAGATGGGCAGGGCAGGATGGGAGGCGGATTTCCCCAGGGAAATATTCAGAGCAAACACCTGCAGCTCTTCTCTCCTGGCCCACGCTTCTCCTTCCAGTTTGGCTGGGCTGGCAGGTAAGTGGGTGAGAATGCAGAGGGGGACAAGAGCTCGGTGACATGTGTGGCACCAGTGGCATTGACTTCTTCCTTCTTCATGCCTCATTGCCTTGCTCCATTGTCCCCAGTCCCCCTTTCTGCCCTTCTGACTCTGAGGTCCTCAGTGACTGACATCTATGGCAAGTGGCAACCTTGATTTAGCCTAGGATGGTGCCCTACCTTGGTGGGGATATTTCTGCCAACTACAGCTTGGGCTGAATAGGGGATGAGAGGAGCTGACTAGAACTTGTCTAGACCCGCTGCTCTATTGGAGATAAGGAATGTAGGTGAGCAGCGTGGAGTGTGTCAGCTGGCATGGGACCAGGCACAGCCTTGCCATCCATCCTCGTGGGCCTAAGCCCCTGTGCTTCTGGAGAAGGCTTCCAGGAAGACTGAGGATGACCTGGCAGGGGCTGCAGAGGGGTCTGGGGCCATGACTGGCTGGGATAGTGAAGGTTAATGTGCAGCTAAGGAGCTACCTATCTACCTCCCTAGGAGCAGGGATTAACATTTATGTGACATTTTATAACCAACTAACCCTACTCACAGCCACGACCCCACAGTAGCCCTATGGGGTAGTCATTACTAACCCATTTTGGAGCGGAGATGGAGTTACTTTTTGAAGTTTCAGCTGTGCATGGGTTTGAGTGCAGTCATGCTGACTCCAGAGTCCATGCACTTTCCATATAGTATGTTCCATTGCTTATGGAGCCATCTCAAGAGCCTAAACTTGCAAGAGGGCCTAGAGGATAGCCTGGAGCATGAGCAAGTGGCATGGTCCCCTGGAGTTCTGGGGTACCCTTTTCAGGAGGAAAGGAGGCCCTGCCATCTGGCAAATCAAGTATAATCTTTTGCAAGGGCAGAGAGATGCACACACTGGTGTGATGGGGGTCACAAGGCCAAATAACAAAGGGCACCTAGGGTCAGTGAATGCAATGACCTTTATTAAGCCCTGACTGTGCACCTCACATTGAAGGTACTTGCCCACCTGTTCTCTGATTAAACTTCTCCTTGCTACCACCTCATGTAGTGGTGCTCTGTGTTGGCACTTTATAGCAGAGGAAACTGAGGCACAGGGCAGTGGGATCATTTGTCCAGGTTGCCAGAGCTTGTGCTAGGACTTGGAGCTGAGGAATAGGGACTGGACCCACTGCCATCCGAGTCCTCCCGTGCCTGCCTCCAACTCATTACCCTGCTCCTCAGCTTTGAGACTGTGAGAGAAGCCAGATCTCTCAGGTCAGGCCCACCCTCCTGGGTCCAGCCAGGCAACCCCTCAAACCACAGTTTTCTTCACATAGTCTTGGGGGCAGTCAGGCACAAGCGGCGAGTGAGTGTCAGGACCCAGAAAGATGAGGTCACCTGAGAGGAGGTCCTTCTGTTTGCAGGAAGCAGTGACACAGTCTGGGTAATGCCCCACGGGCGTGGCCTGCACTTTCCTTGCTGCCAAGTACTCCCGACACCGCTTGCTCACTAGGTAGGACAGTTCTACAAGGTTGAGTAGGATGCAGATGACAGCAGTGATCACCATAAAGAGAGTGAAGATGTTCTTTTCCGAGGGCTTGGAGATGAAGCAGTCCACTGTGTTGGGACAGGGAGCTATGTGGCACTTGACCACAGGAGGGAGGGTGTACCTAGGGTAGAAGGAGTGGAACACATAGAGGAAGGTGACATCTATACCAGCCTTAAAGACCAGGCTGCAGACGTACGTCCACCAGAGCCCGCCCCGCTTCTTGCCAGGGTCCAGGTAGAGGCGCCCGCCATCCTCCCCAACTGCCTCTCGGTGCTTCTTCTCCTGAGCCTTGCGGTAGGCCACATGCATGACCACCAGCAGAGAGGGGCACGTGACCAGGATGAGCTGCAGCGCCCAGAGGCGCACATGGGACACGGGGAAGAACTGATCAAAGCAGACATTGGAGCAGCCCGGCTGATGGGTATTGCAGTCAAAGTCCTTGTGGTCGTCGCTCCACACACGCTCAGCTGTCACCACATATACCAGCACGCGGAAGATGAAAACCAGAGACAGCCAAATGCGCCCAAAGGCTGTGGAGTACTTGTTGACCCCACTGAGGAGCGCCTCAAAGATCCCCCAGTTCATGGTGGACCCAAGCGTTGGTTGCCACTGTAGGGGAAGGAACAAAATAATTTCCCATGTTGAAAGAAAGCTTGTTCTGAGCCCTTCATAGAAGACACTATCATATTTAATCCTCACAACCACCAGGGGAATTGGGCTTACTATTGTTCCCATTTTATAGATGGAGAAAACAGAGATTTAGAGGAAGAATAGGAGCTTATACAACTATTAGGTGCAGATGTGAGACTTGAGCATAGATGATTCAAATCTCAACTCTACTGATAAAAGTGGATCCAGGCAGGTCTAGGGAGCCACCCAGTCCTCCCAAGAATCCTGCAGAGGGAAGCTCTATGGGCATCACACGTTCTGTCTTCTTCTACCCTTCACTTGTGGGGCCTGAGCTTTAAGGTGACTTCTCCCTTTTCTGAGCATTGCTTTCTCCTCTCAGACAGCTCCTTCCCAAGGGAGGCCTGATCACTATCTTTTGCTGGCTCAGGGGGTAGGACTGAAATCTTGTCTCAAGCCTCTACCTGGCCTAACACTCTGTAAATATCTACTCAGGTGGGACTCACCCAAATTAAGGTCAGTGGTAATCCAGCTGGACTGAGAAAAGGATTTTGTGTTAGGAAAAGTTGGCAAACACTGGGTTCAGTAAAGTTAAACATTATTCATTATTTAACCATGTTACTGAATCACTTTGTGACTCTCCGAGAGAGGGATGAACTGGGAAGCATTGCCCAAAGTCTTTGGACCACAGAACCACTATAGTGCTTTGATCATCTTTCAAAGCAGCCTTGACCAGACACCAACATGAGAAATGCTGCTCTGGTCAGTTTTGCTGGTGCTTCTGGCTTGAGGAGCGTATGCAAGCAGATACACTCTCATTCAGGGAGTAAGATTGTTGTGCAGAGAGTAAGGGGCCTGCTTCCTCACTGGGAATCCTGTGCTTAGGTCCTGGGGTACCCCGAGATCCAGGCAGCATAGTCTCACCTGATGTGCACTTGGGGACCTCAGGGAGCCTGTGCTTTAAGGGGTCATGATATCCTCCGTGCTCTGGTCCAGGTGGAAGGTCACAGCCCTCCTGAGATCCCATCCCTGTGTGCTTACAACTGCAAAGCAGGGTGATGGGGGCAGCCGGCATGGATTGGTTGTTTGATAGAAGCTGCCAGAGTCAATACACTATTCCTTCACGGTGACCTTAGGAGGGATAGATCTTTTATCTCCAGTTTATGAAGAAAGAGCACAGAGATATTAATCAATTTCTCACCGTTACATAGCTAGTAGGCAGCAGAGCTGTGATTTGAATCTAAGCGGGCTGGCTCCAGGGCCCACCCTTTGGGAACTCCCTAGTCTTGGGTGGGCCCCTTTCCTCAAGTTTCGGTGAGCTGTCTGCTGCTCTTTTTGGATCCCAGTGAGCAAGGCAGGGATAGCTCTCCTCCCCACCCAGTCTCTACAGCACGTCCCACTTGGCCTCAGGCCCCTCTCTGAGTCATCGGCTTCTCTGCTCAGTCCTGCCTTAGGCGGGTGGGACTGGCAGCCTCTCCCCAGCACTGGGGAGACCCAGCCCTTAGCCCCAGGGCTTCTCACCCAGCCTGCCCTGCACTCAGGGGCAAGGAGGGAGAGGCCTTTCGGCAGACTGAGGCTGCTGCCTGCGAGCTCTCAGCCCTGTCCCACTCGGTTCCTTGCTCCCGCGTATCCCTCTGGGGAGAGCAGGAAGAGCCAAAGGGGAGGTGTGGGTTTTCAGTCCTGTACCGCCAGGACTTCAAGGGCCAGAGCATCCAGGCTGTCTCCCTCCACTTGCTACCAGAAAAATCTCCCTTGTCAAGTGTGCAAGGGGCAGGACACATCTGGACACAGATGCTTTTACCTGAGTTGCTGCTCCTCAGCGCTGTCCTGGAACCCGCTCGTGGCAGCCGATGTGGAATTCACCAAGCCTCAGGAAGTCATGTCAGAACTGAGGAAGATGTCTCAGGAAGCACATTCCTGGGCCAGAGCCTGCTAGGCCGCCTGGGTGTGTGGGGTGGGAGGGAGGAGGAGGTGGGAGAGGTGGAGGAGGAGCTGCGGCCTGCACTGCTATTGGCTGAACCCCAGCCTCCCTGGCTGCCTCCTTTGAGGCTAAGAAGCTCAAAGGAGTCTCTCCTCTGGGTGTGCAGAATCCAGGGTCCTGGAGTTCTCTGAGAATCACACTTCCACATGGAGCCCCTGCTTACCCTCCCATCCCTGGGCTTGTGTGGGAGGGCCTCATTTCCGTCCTGCCTCCTTATTTCTTTTCCAAAATTCTTGACTGCTAACTCAGCCCTTCTCTGGCTTTTGTGGTGGCTAATTGTGTTCTGGTCACACTCTGCTTGCTCCTGAGTGGCTCTCCATTCTCATAGTGCAGTAAAGCTGGCTGCCTCTACTTGCCAACTTGTCTCTGGCCCAGAGGCTTTTTTCTCTCCAATTGCCCCACCAGGATGCCCTTCTCTCTCCTTCCTCATCATCTGCCAGATCCTCTGAAACTTGGTGCAATCGAGTCTTGTCTGCATCACTGTATCCAGACTCCACACTCTCCATCTGCAACTGGATCCAATTCCTGAATCTGGTCCTCTCACTACTGCTTCTGGGCTCCACATGCTGTATTTGGGTCTAACACTCTCACATTTCGACCCTATACTTCTGCATCTAGACACTAAATGCCCAAATCTGGATTCCACAAGCCTGTTCCTATTCCCCACGATATGAGTCCCTTATCTCTGCATTTGGGCCTTACACCCTTGCACCTGGAGCTCTACATCCTGATTCTGCAGTTAACATCCCTGCATCTGGAGCCCATATCGCTGTAATTTGTCCCCTCATCCCTGCATCTGGACCTGTCACTGCTGTGCCTGGAGCCCACACTTCTCTGTACTTTGTACCTGGTACCACAACTCTGCATCTGGAATCTCACAGCCCTTCCAGATTTTGACCCATGGCTTACCTGCTCCCTCTCTGTACAAGGAGATATCTTGCTCCTGTGAGAAGTGTCATGAGGAGATGGTGGGGTGATAGAGTGCACAGAGTGGCCCAAATTGTGGCTCTGCCACTTCCTTACTGTGTGGCCTCGTAGTGTGGGGGCGTGGATTCACCTGGCAAGTGATGAAGTGCTTGGGATGCTGCCCAGCTCAAAGGAAGCCCTTTATACAGTTGCCTCTAACAGATGTAGACTGTCTGGTTGGGGCAGCATAGATCAGTTCTAACACTGTGAAAAGGCCTATAAGAGGAATAGAGAAAGGAGTGTCAATATTTGCCAGTGGGAGACTTGGAGAAGTGACATTTAAGCTGGTTCTTGAAGGACTTGCAGGAGTTCATCAAGAGGGGAGAAGGAGAGGCCTTCAAGGCGTGAGCACACTGTGTGCAGAGGACCTCTGTAAACCATGGTGGAGGAGCATTACAGAGTGTGAGGTGGGAGGTGTACCCAGGACAAATAAAGCAAGGACAACTATGTCAACACATCAGGGAAACAACAGATAAGGATCATTGCTGTCCCCACAACATGCCCAGGGATATGCAAAACTGAAAGTGCAGGCTCCTGGCGTGTGTCCCCTTCATTTGCATTGCAGTTGACCTCCTCCCCTCAGTGGGTTTGGGACTCTGACACTTTCTCTAAAAATCTGGGTGTGGTGCACACAGCTGTAGTCCCAGCACTCAGGAGGCTGAGGCAAGAGGATTACTGTAAATTTGAGATCAGCCTAGGCTACAAAGTGAGCTCAAGGCTAGTTTGAACTCATAAGAGACTCTGTCTCAAAAAGACAAAATGAAGAAACAAACAAACAAAACCTCATAGTTGAAAGGATTTTGCCCTAAAGGGGACGCTGTAGGGGTGGGAGGCTGGGAGGCGGAGGGTCACCTTCCCTGCCCCTAAACAATTTACCTGTGGCCTGAAATGGATGCCAATGAGCTACCTGTGCGTCAGTAATGCACCTTAGGGTCCGCCTCAAACCTAAGCTATATGGATGCCCCCACCCCATGTGTCCAGCAGACAGAAAGCCAGACCTCAGTGGTCAGGGGTTCTCTCTCTGCATTCTTAAAATAAAGGCCACTTTATTTCACATTTCTATCTTCTTAGCTGTGCCGAAAATTCTATCAAAAGTGTCAGAAACTCCCACTCCTGATGGCTGGGCTGTGTCAGATACTCTATTAGGCCATGACTCTTTAAAATTTGCAGCTGTAGATCTCCCATAATTCCAGGATCTTAAGACACCCAGTACCTGCCCTGCTAGGGTCATGAACTGTTTGTACAGGGCTGTTGCTACTACCACTGATTCTCATTACTCCAGGTGTTTGTTTCTGTAAGTCACTATGAATACCAGGTTTATGTGTTTGGATTATATGGCATTATAACTGCTTTGCTATTCAGAGGCGGGGCAGATTGGAAGACCTGGTCACCGTGAGTGAGTGACTCTTCCTGGCTCCTCCATTTACTCATTCTGCTTTCCTGCTCCCATGATCAAGCAGCTTTTCTTCAGCCGGGTCCCTCTGCCATGCTATTTGCCTGGGAGCCAGTGGATTATGGAGTGAAACCTCTACAAACTGGGAGCCAAAGTACATTTCTTTTCCTTTAAGTGGAAGGTGTTGAGGGTTTGCCCTAGCAGTGAGCAAAGTAATAAAGACTCCAGGTCTGTAAATAGTGACCATTGCTCTCAGTAGAAATACAAGGCCAGCTTCCTGTGAGCCATTGGTTGTATTTTCTACTGATCAGTACGTTGCCTTGTTTCATATGTGCTTCTGTTTAAAGACATTTTATCAAACACAGAACAGTGATTTGGTAACTCTGAACTCCTGCCCTGCCACTGCCACTGTAGCTCCTGCCAGAATGGGGCTCATTTGCCACACATTTCCTCCCGGAGACACATCACAGCCTCCTGGTTCTTAGGAAGACGAGACAGCTTGTCTGCACTGTGCTTGGGGCTGTTGTAAACAGTAATGTCACCAAGAAAAAGCATAACAATCAGAAAAATGCAGTCCTAAATAGACCCCTGGGAGACATGTATTTAAGGAAGGGACTCTTGAGGAAGAAGGAAGAGTGTTGCCTTGTTTGGGCTCAGCTAGGAGCGTGTGCATGGCGTGACTTAGTCTCTCTGGTCTCTGCTTGACTCGCTAGGCTTCCCTGGCCCTCAGCTGGGTTTGTCACCAGCTTCTGCTGGGACGATCCCACTCCCCAGGCTCCTTGCTGCGTCTGCTCTGCTGGCTGCTGCCTGTGCTGGAGTTGTCACATGTGGGTGGGTGAGAGCAGGACTTTGTCCTGGAGTCCACGTTCCCTGCTGAATGTAACAGGCTGGGGGAGGTCTAGGCATCCTGACTTGGTCCTTGGCCAGCTGACTCAAAATGCTTGTTCCCCCAGGAGAGTGAGGCTTTGCTCCCAGGGGAACAAGGCAGTTGGCCTGGGGTCAGGAAAGGCTGAAAATGGAGGAGGGAGGAGTCATAATAACATCAGTTCAATTGTTTATCACCCGTTGGGCCAGGAACCAAGACACACGCTCTACTTAGGTCGTGCTTGTGATGACTTGTTCTTCTCTCCATTCGGTTCTCTGCACACTGCAGAGCTGTCTCTGGAAAATGTAAATCATACTTAAAAAAAAATCTTTCAGCGGCTCTGTAAGGCTCTTGAAGAAAATCCTTTCTTACTCATACGGCTTGTAGGGCCCTGCACAGGCTGATCATTACTACCATCCCCACGCTCAGTTTATTCTTCTCAGTCCTTGTGCCCCAGGCTCACCAGCCTGCTTTTGCCTTCTTGACCACAGCACTGTTTCCCACTGCAGGACCTTTGCACATGTCTTAATGATCTTTCCTCATTTTCTCTGAGCTATCATGGATTTAGGCTCAAAATTCTAATTTAAATGTCACTCCCTCAGAAAAAGCTTCCCTTGTTCTCAAAACCAGCGCCAGTTCTCTGTGGTAGAATCTCTTTTGTGACAGTTGAACTTGGAGAATTATTGGTGTATTTGTATGTTAAATCTTCTTTCTTCTTTTAGACTATGGTCTTGAAGGGCTGGAGCGAGACACACTCTACCTGAACCACCAGGCACACACCGAGATGGGAGCAGTCCAATCCTCCAGCGCTGGAAGGATGCAGGGTGCTGCAGATCCATTTCTGCCCTCAGTGGCTTCTATCCTAGGGCAGAGTAGGGGAGACTCAGACACTTGGGACTTAGGAAGAGCTGTGTGACACACAGAATCCACATACACCTTGGTTCAAGTCCCATTTGTATTCCCTGGTAGTGCAACCCTGGTCAAGTCATTTGTTCTCTGGGCCTTGACTTCCTTTCTGAGTGCAGTGTGGGCAAGGGGTGCCCTTGTGAGGTGCACTGGGCTGGACCCCAGTAGGGAATGGTGATGGCAGTAAGCCCACTCCACACACACTGGTCTTTTTCTCCCCCAAAGCCATGGCTTTTCTTTTGCAGAGTGACATTCATATTCTTCACCCCCACCCCCGCCGCCCCAGGCTCTCATGGTGGGGGGCAGGAGTGGGGTACTAATGGCCAGGGTCTCCTCTGTTGCTCTTCCTACTATTTCTGAGGCTTAGTAGGGGCTAGGTCATGGCAGCAGTGAAACTTACTGTCCCTGAGACTGGACCCAGTGTCTCTGTGCCTCCTTCTCCTCCGGCCAGGCCCACACCCCACACTGAGGCCGGATGCAGAGCTCCCTCACCTCGTGCCCTAATGTTGCGGGGAAGCTTGGCTCAGTTTCCTCTGGGGCCTCTTTTGAAGATGACTGAAGGCTGACGAGGAGTTCCTGAACCTTTAACCACCAACTCCCACATTCTCTCTGTGGGTTCCAACTTCCAGCCCTGGGAGGCTCCCTTTGGGAATCCGGCCTGGAGGTTCAGTGCCTCTGCACAGACATGGGCCATGTGGCTTGGGAACAATCAGACTTTTAAGTACTGTTCCATGGAGTGGCCAGGATCTGGCCCTCACCTTCCTGGCTGCTGCATTCCGGTGATTAGCAGCACCGTGTGCAGCACGTCAGCTCACAGCAGACAGGCCCAGTGTCCAGTTGCCACCACCTGCTACACTGCCTGGGGCTCTCTGGGCTCTTGTCACTCTTTGACTGAAAGAAAGAGCCTTCCACCGCTTCCCAGAGGGCCCCAGCAGGGTCGAACTCAGCTGCCCCCAGAAGTACCCTTCTCCAATCCCACATCCTTCATCAGCTTCCCTCCCTTCTCCACCTCACCT